TATCTTACTGTGTTTGTAGATAGGGCAAAAGGATTAAGCGTTTTGAACGATGAAACTATCGTATAAAACCACGCGTGCTTGACCTATTACAACTTTTGTTTACTGGAAGGCTTGCTCTCCAGTTTTGTGTTGCTAAGCGGTATCCAAGCACGTGACCACTAGCTGCAAAGGGCCTATTCTGAGACTTAATCGAGCAGACTGAGGTCATTTAATTTTCGCGTTTCACTTCTAGTATATTCTGTAATACGGCAGTTGACTATTAACAAGAGTCCTATATATATAGCACTGACAGCTGATACAGATATTTCTACTCAAGCGTTTCGGTCTCTGCAGGCTTTGGAGTCAGCAGGTAATTTTGTGTCATTGTCATTTATTGGCGTAATGCTCTTGAAATAACTTCCAAACTAGCTACCACCAAATCATAAACAACGACAACTCGAATCATCCTGGGAGAAAAACTTGGTTAATTAATAACTAGGAGGCAATCTAGCAATAGAGAAAATATTTTTAAATTTAAAAATAAGTCTAAGATAGCCATATAATATTAATTACCAAGACTGGCATTTAAAGTTCAAACGAAGTCGTTGAAGAAACCACTGAAGTAAGTAAAATTATAACATCACGAGGATCAAAACGATTAGTGTTCAATTAATATATCCAATTGTTTTTGTATGGACAAGTACTGTTTAACAAACCACAGGAAAATAAGAGTTTTACATTCATGCAAGGTTATAGCTGAAGAAATTTATCTTTTGCAGCAGAGAACGAAAGTGAAAGTGAAAGACTAACCGGAGACATTGTTTACAGGTCTTTGCATGTGGGTCGATCAAGAACAAAACTGTGTCTATTTATTTCAAATATAACAAGAAGTTAGACATGAAAGTCAAAGGGATTATTTTGATGCTGCACTTCTTGCATTTATGTTCAATGTATGACAGCAGTAAGACAAAAACAACTAATGGCCTACACGCGGAAATACCAGATGAAATTCCAAGAAAAACATCAGAAAACGAGATTACGTTACCAGGATTGATAGCAATTATTTGCATAGTCACCATCGTCATCATTGCATTAGTTTATTGTACTGTCAAGAAATACTGTTTGAGTAACCAGTCGGCCTCACTAGAAGTGTCACAGACACTAGGCGGAGAATGTTTGCCTCCTACAAATACAAGTACTTACCGTGTAACAAGCCAGGTGTATCCATCCTGTGCACCGCCGGCATACCCCACGGCCAGTGATATCAGCCAATCAGCACAACCAGATAATGATAATTTCTTACCACCTCGCTATTCTTCAATATTCGATGACAATGGACAGGAAATCGTCCCAGTCAACCTATGAATAATACTGATCATAGTGGTAAAAAAGCCACTTCCTTGTACATTGGATTGACAGGGGCCGCGGAGCACCCTAAAACATAGAGGGGGGGGGGGTAAGATTGGAAACTTATAAGACTACATATAGGGAAAGGGCAAGGGTAGGAGAGGGTGGCTATGCCCCTCCTGCCCAACCCCCTCTGCGGCCCATGTTTGAGTCAGTCGACCGCCTCCCTAACACATCTTCAGTACGTTTTCCCCAAGTAGCTAAAGGTTGCACGCACATCCAAACCCGACGAAGTTTTAAAGACAAGCTTTTAGAATACCCACTCGGCTATACTCTCAGCGCGTTCGCAGAATCCTAAAACTCACTTCTAAAAAGTCGTCTTAAATGGTCTTAAATGAGTTAGGGAAAAATGAAAACGCCAAGAGTAAAAAGTGCACCATCTTTGGCACATAATAGTATTAGAAAAATAGACATGGCCACCGTGTTGGTTGATGTAATAAAAATATCAGACCAAATCTTTCGTTCTGTTAAACCAACATGGTGCTTCTGTCGGTGTGAAGTCTTGAGCCTTAAATGCCATGGTCCCGGAGTTGTTAAATGACGTCATTTCAAGGGGTTATATGATACGAGGTCATATAAATGACTGTCGATTTAGCTTGAAACCACGTTTACTGACAAGCTTCCACCAAATGGCGAATATTTTTGTAATTTTCGTAAATTGAAAATATCCTTTTCCCATTGCAAACCACGTTTTAATCCACGTAAAACAAAATAAAAATCAATTGTAAATGATAATAGTTTTAAAATAATATTGTAAATATGCAGAGTTGAATGAATATGGACCAAATTTTTTGTTATCAAAATACACTTTCAACTTTTTATTTGTTTTCAATAATATTATTTAATCAAATGTACTTATATAGCGCTGCATCCATATGTCCAAAGTACTCATATGAGAAGCTAATCGATTGGTAATAAAATATTGATTTGCAATAATCACGTTGATTGATATAATATGTCCACCTATTGTTGATTGATTGATTGATTGATTGATTGATAAGCTTTCACCAAAAATAAGACAGTTACAAATGATAATATTAATATATATTACTAGGTGTGCAAAAACAAAATGAAATGATGAGTAATAATAATATGAAAGTGTTGGTGAGGGTGTCACAACAGAGCCTGGCTCCACATAAACTGTACCCTTTCAAAATAATAGTAATACAAAGATAATACTATCAGATTGGCAAGGATGAATGGACAAATAAACATGGTGCATGGTGTAAAGGTCGAGACTATTAATACTATATTAAAAACACTTAAAATATGTACTATTAAGATCTATACTCTATATGTAATATATAATAAACGATGGCAAAGAAAAAACATTTAAAAAAACTGCCGACTCAAGTACCGCCATTAGAAGCTAGTAGCAGCAGAATTATTGGCATGGAGGTTACGACGTGAGGAGCACTTAGTGCACACAGACTTCCAAGTATTAAAGTTATTTAATCTCGTGCCAATATGATAATGGAAAAAGGTCTAATCTGAGCAAACGTTCCTGATATGATACAGTCCTTTGACTAAACGTTGTCGTTGATCGGATCATCCCTACGCGCCTAGACCAAAAAGGATAACGGGTAAATTAACATCAATAATTAATTGTTCTCTGTCAGTCGGTGACAATCGCACAATGGGAATCAAAATGCACATTTGCCTTCGCATTTTACGCAAGGAAAACAAGAGCCGTTTTACATCATATTCCATCAAGGATGTCCCAAATATCGACAACGTGCAGACGCTAAAAGATTATCTGCTTGAGCGCTGTTCAGACGAGTTATCGCCGGCTACAGATAGTAGCTTTAAGATAGGTTATTTTGGGGATGAAAGCCAAAAATTTAGTATTTCCAGTCCAGTACAACTTGCTCAAGACGTGTTAGATAACATATGAGGCAGCTAGTAACTGTGAATTAATTATCCCCACGATCCTTTTCGGTCTAGGCGCGTAGGGATGAAGCCGATCAAACGACAATGTTTAGTCAAAGGACTGTATTTCATCTGACGATTTGATCCCTAGAATGAATGAAAGATACAGTAGAGTCTTAAATGGAAAGCATTATTTGTCTCTGTTCTAATTTTATAGCTCCATTGAACTGTTCAAAATGGCGCTTTAGAAAACCAACTCTTCAAGCATTTCTGCTACGAGGTGTATTTGAAGTTCTACTTAGAGTAAAACATTCTAGCATCTGTCTGCAAAATCAGTTAATTCAATGATTGTCCCTGGTTTTATATCATGTTCAGTTGGTAGAAAGACTTACATTCTCAATTAAACACCTACATGCACATAAAAACCCCTTTTTTATCAGGCTAATATAATGTTTTCCAATCTATTTAACTTTTAAAAGGAACATACCAACAACTAGAACAAACAAAGCCAGTAAAATCCAATTGAGAAACCTTCTAGCAGCACTTTTAGATGACTGATGCTCTACGACTGTTCTTGTTCTTAGTGGGGTACGTATGCTATCTTCAACATCTTCTATGACTTTCCTAGCACCAGACCAAGGGTGTGGTCCAACAAGGCGGTACTGCGCAGGTATACATGGACCAAAGAAACACTTGATTGCAAACCCAGGATCTTGGAAAAACATCTTCCACAAATTGGGCTTGGCACCAATTAGTGAAGCTACATCATCCATGTAGTCAATGTAGCTGTTGATCTAGATGTGAATGAAACAAGAAAACTGTAGTCATCACATAATCTATATTAGCTATATTATGGTACTACAGTGAAACCCCGTTAATCCGGCCACCGAAGGGACATTCAAAAGTGGCTGTTTTAACGGGTTGGCCGTATTAAGCGGGCTGTCAAAAATATGTTAAAAACGTGTTTTATCAATCAGTACGAAACTACTAAACAAATTAAGTGCAATAATGCATATTGTATTTTTAAATAATGTTTCTAAAACTTCTGATGCTATTGAAGCTCAGTTATAACTCAACTTTAGTAGTACTTTAAAACTTTAAATTATATTGTAGTACAGGACTGTAGATATAACAGTAGAACAGAGAAAACAGAGTACAGTAACAACTACTTTTTATCCAGCCTCGAGTCAGTATGGCTTCAAAGGAAGCTTCATTCGTCTGTACATCACCCCAGACAGGCTATCAGCATGGCTCGTTTTAATACTGTACTGTTATAAAATAAATGCGGACATACTTTAGCGCACCGCGCTGTACGTGTTTCTCTGTTTGAAGTTGTTGTTTTGATTCTGATTCTACAAACAGCATTACTGTAGAATGTTAACCGTATGAATAAAAGAATCACACATTTTGCAGTAATAACTTTACAGTATTTAAACGGGTGGCCGTATTAAGCGGGTACATTTTACAGTAAATGTATGGGCATTTCGTCAGGACCCAAAAGAGCTGACCGCAATAACAGGGTGGCCTTATTAAGCTGGTGGCCGTAAGGCGGGGTTCCACTGTACCAGTAATTGTGCGCATTTTTACCCTGAAATTCAATCATAATTTTTTTATCACCATATTAGATACTCTGATAAGTAATCACACAGGATGCTGAGAGAACAAGGACAGATGCAGCCAAAATATTAGGGGGGGGGCTAATTGAGTTTAGGGGGGGCTAATTGAGTTCCTTCGGTCAACACAACGGAAAACAATAAAAAAAGCATCTAATTCTTCAGTTTTGTTTTGTTTTGTTTTTCCTGCTGAAAGGGACTTCAGCCCCCCTTTGCCCCCCCTGGATCCGCCCTTGGAGAACACAAGAGAGGCATAGGAAATCATCTAAAATGGCATATGATTTCAAACAGTCAGAGTGCACATTGAAAATCAGTTATTTCATAAGATCATTTAGGCATGGCCATTCTATTTCCTAAAGCTATGAAACAAATATCCTTACCAGAAACTTCACACTGCTTGCTTTTCCATACTTTTCCATTTTGTCATGGTACTGAAATGCCAAGATGTCTTTGTTCATTTCTTCTTTATTCGGCAGAATACATTCACCATTAAAAACCTGAACAGCCCAGCGAGCTTGCAATTCTGTTAAAGGTAATACTGGACCCTTGACTCTAAAACATCCAATGACAGCTAATGTTGGTTTGCTTAACTCAGGAGAAAAAACAGCTTTGTAAAACTGGTGTGACTGGTTTGGCTTGAACATGGATGCAGGAAGAACTGGGCATTGAGTATTGAATCCAGTAGCAAAAATGACTGTATCAATTGCATCAATGTGGTTGCCATCCTTGAAAAATACTTGTTTCTCTTTGAAGTAGTCAATTTCATCTTTAACAATGATAGAACCCACAACAATACGATGTGGGAGCTCGTCATTAATAACTGCAAATTGTACTCCTGGATTATCTACTGGTTCTAGACCAAAATTTGCCAAGTTGTAAATGGATTTGATCTTTGCTTCGAAAAGCCAAGACCTGACCTTTTTAGGAATTGAATTAATTGATCTGCGAAAACCATACATATCAATGGGTTGTCCTCCAGTTGAAAGGCGTGGCAGAATCCAAGCGCCACGCCTTGTGCTTATGTATACTTGTGCAGCATGCCTACTAAGTTCACAAGCAATATCACCTAATGATGTCAGGGGAAAAAGAAATAAAATCTTTAGTGGTTCAGCATTTTGCAAATGCATGGCTATATATATATATATATACAGCCATGCATTTGCAAAATTCATGGCCACTTCCAATATATATTATATATACGAGTATATCAGAAGCGTATCAAAAATTATGGGATATTCTCCCTTATATTTTTTTTTCGAGTTGTCTATCACTAGGGCTTTCTGAAAGAAATATCAAGAAAGATATCTTGCCCTGTCTGATATACTTTCGACATACTTTTATTTATATTTGAAAAGGCCAAACTTTTTGCAAATGGCTGGATATGTATACATTCTTTTATATATATTACATATATTATTATATATATTATATATATTACAGCGATATGCAGAAATTCTGATCCTTTTGTACATATATACAAGTATATCAAAAGTATATCAGAAATTATGGATTATCATCACTGATATTTTTTCAGGTTGCCTATCAGAGATGGTATCCCATAATCTGTAATATAGTTTTGATATACTTTTGTGTATATACAAAAGGATCAGAATTTCTGCATATCACTGTATATATATATATACACTCGATTGCAGAAACATTGTATAAATTAGATATATGTATAAATGTATACCACAATGTTTCTGCAATCAAGTGTATATATATTTATCAAACTCATTAATAATTCATAAGGAAAACACAACAGAAATCACAACCGTGAAGAGTGTTGTAAATCTGATACAAAACTGTGTTCATTTGCATAAAGTTTAAGTTGGATGTTCTTGGCCAGATTCACTTTAATTTTGAAAATTTTAGTGAAACACAAAGGAACTAACCTAGACGTTTGATAAGTCATATACAGTATTTGTGTCCGTGTTGTATCAGATATACAATCACTCAGCTACGCCTCATGGTTGTATATGTGATACAACATGGCCACTCATACTGCATATATTACATATATATTATATATATATATATATATACTGCAGTTTGCATAAGCTTTGACCATTTATATATATATATACAAGTATATCAAAAGTATATCAGAAATTATGGCATGTCATCCCTGATATTTTTTTCCAGATAGCCCTAGTGCTAGACAACTCGAAAACAATATCAGGGATCATATCCCACAATTTTTGATATACTTTTGATATACTTGTATATATGCACAAATGGTCAAAGTTTATGCAAACCGCAGTATATATATATGTTTATCTATTAATACTTATTAATGGCTATTAAGTGCAACAAGCTTCAATAAGCTTATATACCTGCAGTGTTTCCAAGTCCAACAACCAGTACACGCTTTCCTTCAAATCCTTTAAACGTCTTGTACTTCTTGCTGTGAATGATTTCCCCGGTGAACTCTTTGATACTTGGTATATCAGGTATGTATGGCTGTGAATAAACACCACTACACACCATAACAAAGTCATACACTACAGCAACTACTTCTTTGTTTTCCGCCCGTTCATCTACATAATGTACTTCCCATCTTCCAGTATCCTCATAATCTTCGCTCTTCTTTATCTTCTCTATGCGGTGATTGAATCGTATCCTCTTTGTTAGATCGAACTTTTCTGCATAATTTTCCAGATAACGCTGGTAGAGATCTGCAGGCAGATAATTCGGCATATCTTTAGGAATTGGGAAATCACTGAAGCAAGAGAAATGCTTGCTGGTGTTCAAGATAGTCGATTTTTGGACGGTAGATCGATCATCTTCTGTGAAGCGCCATATTCCACCAATCCAAGAATCCCGCTCGTAAGCCGTTGGTTCTAAACCAGCATCAAGGGCATTCTTGATAGACCCTAGACCACTAATTCCTGCACCGATAATGGCTACCTTCTTTGCCATACTGGCCAACTCTCCGATACAGTCTAGGCGTCTTAATCTGTAGAATCTTCAATATCTCAAACCTTATATACGAACTATATGCCTAAATTATTTTGCTCTTAGGGTCTTTAAGATATATCTTTTAAGCTCTTTAACATTTTTTCCCTACATCTGCGCCTTAGACTTCTTGTTCAGACGAGCAGACGACGTTACATTTTTTGTAAAGTAGCTTGGGCTGTCTGTGGTCCACGTACAGGCACCACAGGTAGCCCAAAAGGGGTTCTTGCTCATCCCACCTCAAATCGAAGGGTTCATGTAGTAAAGCTATTGTATCTTTTTCACGTAAATCGTCCTGTTACACATTTAATAAAGGTGTACCCATTTGGTGTTAGTTTCAATGCTCCAGATTTGATTTGATTTGTTTAATTCATTTTATGGAGCATTTCCCATGCGGCGATAATGACAATACATCAACTGAGTCTATCAGTACATTATATTCCATGTAGTAGCCATGCAGTAGCATACTAACGATTCACAACCCACCCAGTCAATATAGGACAAAAACAGACATTGGTTTGTGAGTAAATAATTGACGTTCTGTTTGGATGAGCACTGCTAAACTCGTCCCATTCATGACATACATGATTAAATACTTAAGCAATTCAATTCATTAAGTATTCGTTAAATCAATTTGTTGCGCTATGCTTACGGCGAATGTTGAAGAGCGAGTTAAACAACTTGTCGCGGCAAGCTCAGTGTGCGGGGGAGCTTTACTGATTTAATAAGGTCAGGAACCGCGGAAAATCGGCTGCGATTGACGGTGATTTTAATTGACGATAATCAAACTTAAACTGAAAACAATACAATTAATGAACTAATTACTAAATGATATAGGATTACAAGATAATAGAATCACGCATAAGGAATAACATGCGTTCCGATCATAGTTTTAGTATGACAAACTCTAAAAGGTTAAGAAACTAAAGGTACAAGTAAAACGATACTAATAGTTTTTATGATAACATAGCAATCAAATAACTACTATAAAATCTCATGAATACTAATATAAATGATGCGATTTTGGTTATACCTTAGGGCGTGCCACTGCAATCGACGTGAAAATATACTAGCGATAATAAGATCAATAAAGTCTTTAGACTTAAAGGCACAGATTTAAATGTATAAATACGGATATAGGCCTGGCTTTGTAAATTGAATGCTTACTAAGCAATAGAATTCTCAGGGCGTTGCCGTGCATGTGCTTAAACACAATCTAAACCATGGACGGGTCTTATCAAGTAACTAAAAGGCTATTATGGCCGAGACTAAGGCTTAGACAAGGTGTAAAGCTAATTACTGTACTCACACATTTTTTCTCGCTTGCACTCTAAAGGGCCAGGGGGTAACTTCATCTACTTCTTCAAACAGCTTCTAAATATACGACTCTATCGTGGACGATCTGACTAACTAAACTAAAACTGGAAACGAAGCTAACATTTCTTGTCGGTATTACACGTGGCATAGCTTGTGACGTAATTGAGTAAATATCGTGTGGCAAATCAGAATGAATATGCAAATAAACAAAGACAGAGGAGCCTCGATTCTATGTTTCTAACATAATTCGTTTAACATTTTTGAATATTCTATTGACCAGCCTGTTTGAACATTCAAGCCTGTCTGGTCTTGTCTGATGGACTGGAATCATTCAGTATCAGGCAGCGAAGAACGACGCTGGTTTCTTGCTTCCAATCTACAAGCAAAGACGTCATATTCTAGAGATCTGTGTACAGTACCCTTAATGGGGGGAGTGGGGTGGGGTAGTCGTAGATCAAGCAGTTGATAATATACACATGAACATTTGTGCACAGAATTAAATACAAAATCTGGTCAACCAACCAATCAGAATGCTACATCAATCAGTCACGTTGTTGTACTGTCAGCCAATTATACTGTTCTCTGATGTCATTACAGGCTTTGCTTTGATAATTATTACTATCTACTCTCACCCATGTACCCAGTAACCTATGACTACAGGCGAGGACGAGCAAAGGAGGGGAGAAGATGGTGTAAGTGAAACGAGAGGGGGAATTGAATGGGAACTTGACTTACTTGATATTTTCAGCTTCATTTTCTTCATTTATTTCCTTCTCAGATCGCATCAGTACCGTTACAGTAGGACCACGGTCTAAAGGATACCTCTTGGGTGACGAAACGCTACTTCGAATTTTTCCCTGTCAAAATGTTTATAATCAGTTTGTAACCATTCATTCATATCGGTTTTTCTTAGAGTCACTTATACCACTGACGGCTGATATACTAATGTACGGTGGTCCATAAGGAACATGCAGCAAGAGTCTGAGACAATTTGGTGCGAATAAGAATGACGAGCTGGTGCATGTTAGACGAGTTGCTGCAAATAAGAAACGAGTTGCTGCATGTTAGACGAGTTGCTGCAAATAAGAACGAGTTGCTGCATGTTAGACGAATTGCTGCAAATAATAAACGAGTTGCTGCATGTTAGACGAGTTGCTGCATGCACAATAAGAGACGAGCTGCTGCATGTTAGACGATAAGCATGCGTGAGCAGTTTACCGATTGGCACTGAGTTTTAGCTAAGTTTCAGGTTTCAGGTCACACATCCTGGTACAATCTTCGCTCAACCGGTCTGACTAAGTGTCATTGAAGCCCAAAATAATTTCCACTGGCCGCGGTTCCAGGTGAATTACTATAACAATAGTCGTGAAAACAATAAAGCAGATAGACTTTTTAACATCACTGAATTATTCAACTGATTACGTGCGTGGCAAATTGCAAGAGATTAGCCCATATGGTCCGGGAGTCCGCTAGTCTCTCCCCTGATGCCTCAGCTATACAACATTTTCTTGCGTAATTCGTACACCCAAGGGCAGAAGGATTTAATCGCCGTTAGGTCCGAAGTCCATACGACGCCTCAGGCTCTGCGGATGTCTCGGGGGTATGGCACAGTGGAATCGATTTTTTCTTGAATTTCTGTTGGTGGGTTTGAACCCCATATTTGGCAATATCTTTTTTGAGAAAGAGTGTTTATCTAATTCCTTTTTGCTCATATTCAGACGGATTAAGAGTTAAGTATAAGCAATTTCGTCTAACGTGCAGCAACTTGTTTAACTTGCCGCTACATGTCCCTTATTGGCAACTGTACTAATGCTATCGTATACACTACTAGTTCTCAAGACTTATTTATAGAAATCTGTGCGGTTAGAGTTAGTCCAGTTTCTAATGGAATAAGAATGAAGTACAGTTGAGCATGCGTAAGAATGAGAAGGAAACCTTACTGAGGAATCTTGGACATCTCTTCCCTTTAAAGATGACGAGCTAACCTTTTAAAAGTAAGAGTTAATTGAATTGAGCTTGTAAAAATGAGAGTAGATTATAAAAGGTTACTTTAAAGACTGAATAGTGTTTTAACTCAGTTAAATTATATGACTATTTATCAGAACACCGATGGCTCTTCATGTTTAATTTACATACCTTGACAGATCTGGCGGTAGCAATATAAACCCAAGCCCTAATGATATAAGGTGATTATAAAAATGTAAGAGAACTAGCTTTGCGCTTAGGTCTTATGAAATACACAATAAAGGTTCAGGTTATCATAGCTCGTGCGCATGTGCAAAGAGATTAGTTGAAAGTCTTTCATTTGCATGGCTAGCGCGAAAGTCAACCTTGGTATTACAATCCCCAGAAGAGGTAGACTGGTAACAACTAACACTAAAACGAGGTCTTTAGGCCAAGGGCAAACGTCGAACTTTCCATGCACCTAACTTAATTACATCTAAGAATGCCGCCTCGATCATTATCACCTGATATCCATTGTTTTTAATGAGTTCGGTGCATGGAAAGTTCGACGTTTGCCCTAGGCCTTAGATGTATTTATGATAACGAATACAACACATGCAATATGAAAAAGAAAGTCAGGAATATACCATGTGCGCAAGACCCTTGGAAAAACTATGAAGAGATCACTGGACTGTCTAAAATACAACTGTAAATGGGAGTGCAAGATAAAACACGATTCCCGCTCATGTTTGATCCCGGCACCCAACCTGCTGCAACAGTGGATGGGGAACATTGATGATGATGATGATGATAATGATGATGATGATGATGATGATGATGATGATGATGATGATGATGATGATGATGATGATGGTGATGATGGTGATGATGATGATGATGGCGATGATGGTGATGATGATGATGATGATGATGATGGTGATGATGATGGTGATGATGATGATAATGATGATGATGATGATGGGGAAGTATGAATGTGTCTAAGTTAATGTAACAAAATATTGAGCAGGAAAAAAATTGACACAAACGCCATTCCTTTTTCCTGTCCATTCCTTCGCCCTTTTTTGTAACATCTAGCCTCATTTTCTCGTTTATCGTTTACATTCTTCTCTCATCTTCCAGAGTAATGAATATTCTACAATATGCTGCTTACTTTCGTGCTGCAGTTCTAACGCGATCTGTTACTTCACGTGTTCGTAATGTTACTCCAAAAATATCTTCATGATATCGACCAGAGCTCTGCGGCCACAATATAAGAAAAGAAGAAGTTAGATTGGAGTCTTCAAACGTTCAGTTATACTGAACGCCGTTCTTTATCACTGACCTTTAGTTTGTCAATGAAGTCTTGTGATTCCTGTTGCGACATGGCTGCATACGACTCCAGCATTGTCTGTGTACCAGAAAAACACACAAATGAATATTCCATCTATATTTGCTCTTCTCTTCTCACTTCCTACCTATTCCTAATTACCTATTCTATTGGTGGTCAGCAGTCTTACCTGTAATGTTCTACATACATCTGCTGCCATGGAAACATCACCACATGTATAGAAATGACCACGACGACTGATGAGTGTATCGATGACCTCCAAAGCGTCTTCCTTCAGGAGGTCTTGTACGTATTGCTAGAACCACAAATATACGATTACAATACGTCATGTCATGACTACTACATATTTTCATGACTACCACGTGTTGTCATGACTACCGCATGCTGTCATGAATACCGCCACATATTGTCATGACTACCACGTGTTGTCATGACTACCACATGACTACTTACCTTTGGCTGATCTTCTTCTCGTGATAGTGCAGTTCTGACGTTAGCTAATACTTTATTATGCTTGGCGTTTGCTGTCTCATCTCTATAAATATCGTCTTGTCTTGAGCTTCGACATCCAAAATACAAAAACATATCTCCCCAGGAYCCCTGCGGTGTTGGCTTGTTCGTCATATCGAATTGACGCTGCTGCCAGAAACTTCTAAACGGAGCGATTCCTGTCCCTGGTCCGACCATGATGAGGGGTACTGAGTCATCTTGTGGGAGGTGGAATGATGGCGCACTAAAAACACCATCAAATAAGAATTTGATTTGACGATGAATAATATATATATTTAGGCACTGCCTAAAAGCGGAGCTCCCGATACGGATGTCAAAGGCAGAGCAATTCGAATGAAACTGAGGCCCCGTCCACACGTATCCGGAATTCTTTTATCCGCAAATTTTTTTTGCGGATACGGGGTGCATCCACACGTGTCCGGAAATATTTGTATCCGTATCCGGAAATTTTCAAAAACGGTCTCCAGAGTGGAAATTTTCGAATACGCTCCGAATACGGATACGTGTGGACAGTCGTATCCGCAAACTTTCGAATACGATGACGTAAACACGATCTTGCGCATGCTCAATAAGAAAAAATACTATCCGTCAAAGGGACTAGGCACTAGCGTGCATCAGGGCGGATCAAGACATTTCCGGACATGTGTGGACAGTGAAAACGATTCGAAAACGATTCGAATACGCTGCTTGTGGACGCGAACATTTTCGCATCCACAAAAAAAAATTTGCGGATACAAAAATTTCCGGATACGTGTGGACGGGACCTGAAAGGAAAAAATAAGACCGGGGGAAAAATCTTCAATTATTTTTTATTCGAGATGAAGATAATTTTTCCCATAATAAAAACCATGCAGTGAAATCGAATCGAAATGCAGTACTTTGTTGTTGTTGTTTTTTTTTTCTTTGTTTTTTGTTTTTGTTTTTTTGTTTGTTTGTTTGTTTGTTGTTTTTTGTTGT